AATTAAATAACTATCTATTTTTGGGCATGTTCTCAGCACACCCAAATGAATATTGGGCATATTGAGATCATTCTTTAATTTTTTTTCAAAAAATGAGATTATTTTGGTATTATACTAATATTACCTTCATTACATAATAATTGGGTATATAGAGAAAAATATTTTCAATATATTAATAATATAGTTATCATGCAACAACTTTAAAATATAATAACTCATCAAGGGTCTGTTTTAAATGCTTGTAATTAGCCTAATGTTTTTGGGCTTTTTTGTGTTGAATGAATTTTAAGTGTTAGAATAAATATTGTTCAACTGTTCACCCATGAACAATTTTTTTTTTTTTTGGGTCCTGCCCCTAGTTTGGCTTTGTACCATGTATAAGAATCAATAGTCTTTTCTATACCATTTAAATATTGCAACAAATGTTTTGTGGTGCAACAACATAGATTGAAAAGAGATTTACTTATACTCTGTTTTGGCATGAGGAGTGGAAAATTAGAAGGATGAAAAAATAGGAAGAATAAATTTTTCATTTTTGGTGGACAAAAAAATACTCTCTTTTTTATTTGGTATGATGGATAGAACGTTGAAGGAATTAATGTTCCATTGTTTGATATTGAAGGAAAAGTGGAAGAGAATAAAAGATAAATATACTTAATTTATTATAGTATCCTTACATAAAAAATAATATTTTTTAGTATAAATAAAATTTCAAGATTTGAAAATATTCAATGACAATTAATCAGTTATAAAAATAAATATGTACACCAAAAATAATAGCCAAAAAACATACACATGAAAAATATGTGAGATAGGATATTTAGAAGTGTTTTCTTGAGAAATATGCAAATTTTGAATTGAAATTGTAGGATAATGTTTGAAAGTATATTTAAGGGTAAAAATATCAATTTGTCCAAAAAATAACTTGTCTTCAAATTTTCTCACTTTCCTCCCACTTTTGGAAGGAAAAAAAATTGTGGGCCAAAGAGAAAGATTTTTCCTCCAATTTTTCTTTCCCTCTCTTATTTTCCTATAGGGTGTGTTTGGTATGATGAAAACTAGGTGGATGAAAAAGGGAAGGAAAAATGACATTTTACTCTGTTTGGTTGAGAACGGAAAACAGGAGGTAACAAAAAACAGAAAGAAAGTTCATCCCTCCCGGCCACACTTTTTAATCCATCCGAAATCGGGCGAAAAGTGGAAGGAAATTTGAACACAGATGAGTGCAATTGTTAAATTTACTCCCCCAACTTTTCATCCAAAATGGAAAACCTTTCGTTGTTAAATATTGATCAAACAATAGAAAGCTTTTCTCTCTATTCCATTTTCCTCCCAAATTTTTCATCAAATCTAATACACTATTAAGAAAATCACTATTTTTATATGCTCCAAAGAGTCTTCATTTTTTTGGGCCAGGCACTATTACGTCGGCGGATTCTTCATTGAGTGAACCAATTTTCAGCATCCTTTTTGTCCTAGTAGTTTCTTTCTACACTCTCAATTTAGTACTAAGAAAATCAACTTGGAATCTTAAAGCTACCCACTTGGTTAATCAATATCTAATTCAGTTCATGGTAATGTGTGTGCAATGCTAGAATCTAACCCCGCATTATTGAGTTAGGATAAGATTATGGTATCACTGCGGTACCATGTCGAAATTGATCCGCAACCGTTGTGTGTGTATATATGCATGAATTTCAATGCATTTCGACTATGCTTAACCGATTACTTCGTTAACTCGCATTCAAAAATAATTGGATCTTGCTCTCCAAATGTGAATTGGAAGACAAGGGGTGGCTAAGTCATAAGAAGCGTGAGATGATATGGACAGTCATCACGTTGACGAAGCAAAAAGTATAAGCTTTCATGGAATTCAATTTAGCCATCACTCGGATCGCTTTGTTATTCTTTGGGCAATTTGTAATTGACACAGTTAAGACATGCATTGAATTTTTATTTAGTACTCGAACGACCAAATTCTGAAAATTTTAACTAAGTTTTAATTTAATTTTTACATATAAATTGGTAAATTTGTTTTGATGGAATGATTTCATGTTACCGACTTGGGACTTGACTAAATTGCTTATATTTGTTCGACCAAAAATCTTCTTTGCCAAAGCTAAAACATTGTATTTCGTTTCATCTAATTTTGAGATAAAAAAAATAAAAGAAGGCACAAAGAAAGAATTTGGTATATACGAGACAGAGAAATATCGACATATTTAAAAGAAAGGATTACACAAATTTTGTGTTGGACTAATATACCCCTATGGCCAAGTCACATGAGTTTATTCTACCGGAAAAATTTAATGAATTTGAATTGAAGAACTGAAATAAAACTTAGCTAAAACTTTAAAGACTTGGTTATTTTAGTAATTAAAGGTTTAGGGACCAACAAAAACTATAGCATAATTTAAGGGTGTGAATTGTAAATTACTTGTTTTTTCTACTTCTTTGTGGGAGTTGACTACTATACGGAAAAAAGTTTTTATTTTATTTTTATTATATTTGTGGGTGTTTTTATCATTATAATAATATTTAAAAAAATAATAAAAATAATTACCACAAATATAAAATAAATAATTAGTATACATGTCAAGATTTTATTGAAAAATAAAATAAAATATGATACCAAAAAATTATTTTACAGTATTATAGTTGAACCCATGACATCCTGGCTCTCCCTCTCTTTTCCCTCCCTCTAAAGAAAAAGGCTAATTACAGTACATGTTTTTTGTCAGAAAAAGCTGAATGAGGCTCTACAAATTAGCCAATAATACCTACTGAGTCCTGTGTGGGGGGAGAACGAAAAGAGCAATCTCCTTTTTTTTTTTTTTTTTATCACACAGTCCTTCAGCAGTCTGACACCAATAATTACAAATAAATGACTATTTTGCAAACTCTAGCAGTAGTCCAATGCCATCCCACAGATCATTGACTGGTCTACCTTTTGACCAGTCTTCTGGATTTCATACCTGTTTTTCCAAAACTTCTGATCACTCACTACCCCAGTTGCAGGCATACCACATTTTTCTGCCACATAAAATGATGCGTATAAAAAAATATTTCTATTGAATATATATTCATAATTATGTATTCATATAGGATCTGTTTGGTTTAAATGTTAGGAAATATCGGATTAGCCAATAATGTTCATCCGTTACCTGTCCATTCAGTCATTGGACTAATTATAATAATAATCTCTTTTTTTTTATATTTAATTCAAATATTAAGAAATAATAAATTCTATATTTATTTTATTTAATACGTTGTTTGGATAAAGTATTGAATAATAGTATAAACATTAAATTACTAAAAAACTCTTGAGATAAAGAATGATATTTATATCCTATAAATACTTGAGGATAAAAATATCTTTTGACAAAATACATCTCAATTGAACTATTTAAACTCACAAAAAGTGGATTTATTTAAGAGGGTGTATGTAGTTTTTAATATACTATTTATCTGGGTCGGTATTATTTTTATGTGATAATACTGGACCCAAAATATGTATTTAGACATAAGAATAAGAGAAATAAGGTGGGTCCGACGTTATCTTTTTCATTCTTTTTTTATTAATACTTAAAACAAACACATCCTTAAAGTTTTATTTTTCAGTTTGTATGTCTTTTTTTTTTTCATTTTTAATTTAATATATGAAGATCAATGCTTATAAATCAGAATTATTTTTTATATCTGCACCACACGACCTATTGTATTTAAAAATAAACAATATGAGTGTGATCATGTGACATCAATTGGTGCAAAAAATTAGATGTACAAATTTAGTGCACACTTTACTCGGTATATAAAAAGAATAACTCCATTGAGCATATATTTATGAAATTAGGCTTATTTTTTAGTATTGTATTATTTTTCTATTTAATATGAAAATGACATGGATAATTTTTTTTATATTACTGGTTATTTTCTAGTCTTATTCTCATAATTAAGTCAATGAACTAGTACACACTACTACGATACAATGTCAAAGGTTGTACGGAATATTTATTTTAGGGAAAGATTAGGACACTAAAGTTGTTAATGCAGTCATAGTCTAATAGGAATTAAGTGACAACTAAAAAAAAAAAAAGAATGATGTGTGGTATTCTTACTATCCGGTTTATTCCGGAAACAAAAAGAAAATCTAATATTGTTGGACCCAAGAATAAATATATAACGATATACCAGAACCGATTTTAAATTTGGGACTTAAGATGCTTTTACCCGATTACACACCTGAAGATCTTGACATGAGTAAGTTCTATACTCTAATATCCCATCCTTTGATGATGATGAACAAGTACGAATTAAAAATTCGAAGTAGGTGAAGTTAAAAGAACCACACTCAAATTTTTACAGTCTGTCTATTTTCCAATGACAAGAATGGAGAGAGTTTATTTTGTTTTTCATCTCAAAAAAGGAGCCCTTATCTCTGTATATTCAACCTCAAAAAAACTAACCTCTATTTAGGGAGATAGTGGGGTGTTGATTATAGCCTGATAAAGGGAAACTCCTAAATCAAGTGGTAGTCTTCCACTCTTTGAATTCAAATAACTCCCTAACCATCTTATTGGACACCCTAATTTGAATGCAAACCCGAATTACAGCATAAATAAATATCCAAACTAAATATGGGAGGCTTTTATAGGGACCCATGCACTTCAGAGGGATGAGTGAAACGTGGGGATTAATAAAAAGCAATTTCTAAGTTAGTTAAACGTGGTAATTTAAAGATAAGGGTTACTCCAATTTTTATTTATTTATTTATTTTTTTTTTGGGGGGGGGTGATGGCTTGAGGAACCTTCTCTTCATATTTTTTTTTTTTATGAATTTTAGTACTAGCTTTCATACATATGTTCCCTCGTGGAGGAGAGAGAGAGAGAGACTATGGTATAAATTAGCAATGAAAATGAACCCAACAAGGAGAAAAAAAGAAGAAAGATCATCAATTCATAAGTTATGTACAGTCAAATGGGATTCATCAGGCCTCTCTATATATTTAGCATATCAATAATCCCTTCTTAATTGAATAATATCACTTAGGACTATTTTGGTTTTTGTTGGCTGCCAAAGCAAGAATGGAATTAGCAAGCTTGTTAATGGAATCAACCAGGCCACTGATGCCTTGTCTATTGATCTCAGCCTTGGATTCCTCAATCTGTAGTCTTCTCTCATGCAAACTCAAGAGCTCTTTGTGCCTTCTCTCTTCTCTCTCCTCACTTGCCTGAATAGCTTCTGCTATGATGGAAGCACTTTTGGAGATTGCAGAGCCAACTTCTTGTGAGATACCACCACTTGCAGCCCCGCCACCACTGGTTCCCTCACCTCTTCTCCTCTTTGCTGGTGAGTCTGAATACTCACTTGTATCAGAATCTGAGGGCTACCATACATTTCCAACACAAAAATATGGAATCAAGCCAACCCATACTAAATGCAAATCAATGACAAATAAGCATGCCAACGGATCTGACCAGATTTTATATGATATGAATTCGGATTGAAAACTCCAATCTGATTACACAACTTATCTCTACTGATTTCGGATAATCGAAAAAAAATTAGTAATACATATTTGACTGATCATGTTCGGAATGAATCACATGACTACCAAAGTTAGGAAACAGTCAAAGTGTCACCCTTCCCTAGGGCAAAATTGTAAGCAAAGCATTGAATGCAAGTGATGG